AAAAGTTAGGGTGGAGAGATGGCTCAGCAGTTAAGAGCACTGACTGCTCTTGCAGAGGACCCAGGTTTGAATCCCAGAACCCCACATGGCAACTAACAATGGTCTGTAACTCCAGTTCCAGGGGATATGACACCCTCTTCTGATTTCCTTGGGAACTGCATGACATGGGTGCACTTACACACACTCAGGCAATACACTCATAAAATAAAATCCGAGTTGGGTGTGATGGTGTATCCCTTTAATCCCAGGAGGCAGAGGCAGGCGGATCTCTGTGAGTTCAAGGCCAGCCTGGTCTACATAGTGAGTTCTAAGACAGCTGGGGCTACAGGGAGACCCTGTCTCAAAAAGGCAAAAACAAAACAAAACAAAAATTTCCATTGAATTTTGTAGATGTGATCAGTTGACTTAATACTGCTGTTTCTTTTCTAGGCATTCAGTGAAATTCAAGGACTAACAGATCAGGCAGATAAATTGATAGGACAGAAAAATCTCCTGAGTCGAAAACGGAGTATTTTAATACGGAAGGTATCATCTCTTTCAGGTGAGTTATGTAAATGTTTTCTGGCAAAGAAACAGTTTTAACAAGATCTCCTAACTGGGTCTTTCAGATATTATTTAGTTTAAGAACTGGCTTACCCAGGTTTATAGCATGATTAACTTTTTACTGGGTGGGACTTTTCTTCTGAATTGTAATCATTCTTCCCTTCCATAGTTTTGGGGAATATAGTTAAATCACTTGAGTTTCAGTTGACTGTATTTTTCATTATGTGGAGTCATACAGAGAGATGATTTATTCCCTGTCAACTTGTAGGTAAGACAGAAGAAGTGGTCCTGAAGAAACTCGAGTATATTTATGCAAAACAACAAGCCCTAGAAGCACAAAAACGAAAAAAGAAGATGGGATCAGAAGAGTTTGATGTGTCTCTCAGAACTAGTAAACAGCAGGAAGGATCTTCTACATCATCTACATCATCTGTAGAGCTTGGACAAATGATTGTAAATCACAGAAAGGGGAAACCTTTGATTCTTTCCCGAAAAAGAGACCAGGTTACAGGTAGGAGGGACATTCTTTGCTTTCCTTAATATAGATGAACATCAGTTTAGTGAACTGAATGTCTTCTCTTGGCCATAGTTTTAATTAAATGAATTAAGGATAGATTTTACACGAAGTAGAACTTTCAGATTTCAGTTTCCAGCTTTACACACTCAAGTAAATCCTGAGAACTTACCATTCATTCTCACATATAAATTGAAGATTTTCTTCATTCTGCTGATAGGTTTAGGGATTATTTGGTCTAGCTGAGGAAAAAAATACATTGGAATTTTTGAGTGGTTTGTTTTTGTTTTTTAAATATTTTATTATTTTTATATTTTTATGTGTATGCATGTGGGTAAGTGCACCTGTGTTGGGTAATGCCCACAGAGGACAGAGGCAGTCGGATCCCCTGGAACTGGAGTTAAGAACAGTTGTTAGCTGCCATGTGGGTGCTGGGATTCAAACCTGGGTCTTCGGCAAGAACATTCAGTGTTCTTAACCTCTCTGAGCCATCTCCCCAGCCCCATGTGTTTTTTTTTTTTTTTTTTTTAAAGTGGGCATGGTGGTATGTACTTACAGTGTCAGCTATTTGGGAGGCTACGGCAGGAAGATTGCTTGAGACTCAGAATTGAGGCCAGCTTAGGTAATATAGTGAGACTTTTAGTGTCTTTTTAAAAAGGAATAGTTTAATTTGTAGAATTAGGCTTTTTTTTTTTTCATTTGATCAAGTAATTTGGCTTTAAGTTTTTCCTGTCTTTCTTTCTCTCTTTCTTCCCTCCCTCCTTCCTTTGACAGGGTCTCAACTATGTAAACTATGTAGTCCCTGACTGGCCTGGAGACTATGTAGACCAGGTTGGCCTGTGTCTGCCTCCCCAGTGTTGGGATTTAAAGGTGTGTGCCACCATGCCCAGCCTTTCTTCCTTACCTTTATTTTGAAAGTGAAGCTACGGTTTTATGCTACTTACATCTTTAGGGAAGGACATATCCTTTCATTACTCTTAAGACAGCTGGGTACTAAAACATGAATTTGTTTAATGTTACAGTCAAATGATACTACTTTTAAGAAAAAAAAAATGAAGTACCAATTATCCAATTTCATGGATGGAAAAAACTGAGGCCTAGAAACTTAAAGGACTTTGTTAGAGATGTGTAGGAAAGGAAGTCTGTGAATAGACTTGTATATGCCTTCATCTTGACTCAACTATCAAGAATTACCAGAATCATTTCCTTGAAAAACTGGTTCCAAGCCCAGTTCCTTTACAAGTAAATTGTCACTCTTAAGTTTAGTTTCCCTAACTAAAAATTTACTTTATACTTAAAACCAAGTCAGGTTTTAGGGCTGCTGCCCTCTGGCCTACACTACACTAATTGAAGGTCTGTTTTATCTGTAACTAATTTCTCATCTTCCTCACAGAAAGCACCTCACCTTCGAACACTCCACACTCCTCTGCCAACCTGGTGATGACGCCACAAGGGCAATTGCTTACCCTAAAAGGCCCCCTATTCTCAGGACCAGTGGTAACTGTTTCTCCTGCTCTCTTAGAAGGTGATCCAAAGCCTCAAATTGTAAGCAGTTCTATGGCTCGGTCAGGTATGTGGCAGTATCCTCTTTGGGTAGTTAAAAATAAAGTTCATGATATCTCAGTGACAGAGGAAGTCTTTGAATGTCTTCTGTAGTGTTCTGTTGGCATTAACCTTACTAAGAGACAACCTTCCTTCTGGCTTGATTGGTAGTTTTACTTGGGATTGGGAACTATTTTGTGAACTCTTAACAAAATTTCTAAGTAGAAGAATTTTTAAAATGTCAAAGTGAAATAATGGTATTGAAGGATCATTGTTTAAGTTCTTGCTGTTAATAATTATTCATCATTATATGTTATACTCCTGTTACTAATAGTGCATTATTTTGAGCACCACTCCTTTTTGCAGTAGAGAATAAAGTTGAGAAGGATTTGATTACTTAACTTCTAGACACCTAAATTTCTGTTAAAGGAGCATTTTTTACTAGTTTTTAAATTGTAGTTACTTTGTTGCCATTGTCACTAACAGCTCTACATCTCTGCTGCCAGGTCCTGTGTGGAGTATTACTTTCTCTTACTATGAGGCTGTTAGGGCTTTATCCCCTCTAACTAGCAGTTAATTGGGTGAACAGAATCAAGATACATTTCTGCCTTAGGACAAGGATTAGCTTGGCAAAATGAACTTTTGATGACTGTTTATGCCTATAATCCCAGCATTCATCAGTCTAAGATTATTATGAGTTTGCCAGGCATGGTGGCACACGCCTTTAATCCCAGTACTCAGGAGGCAGTTTCACCAAATTTTTTCCTTTTTCCTCCCTTCTTGGGAGACTCACCTCAACGCCCTCTGAGGCCCCAGGGCTAACAAACCAACATAAAAACTATTTGAATTTTGCATGACATTTAGGAGGGTGTGACTTACAAAAACACGGATTCTTATAGGTTCCATATTTAAAATGTACGCACCATCTGTCCCCCCCACCCCCAGCACCTTTGCTCCAGTATAGCGGCTCCAAATTCCAATATGTCTGTAGCTCTACCCCTTTTCCCAGGGTGCTTCGAGTCACACACTCTTTTGAGGAATGAGAAAATTTTGGGCTACACGGAAGCAGGAAAATCTCTGTGAGTTCAAGGCCAGCCTGGTCTACATAAGTGAGTTCCAGGCCAGCTGGAGCTACAGGGAGACCGTGTCTCAAAAAGACCAAAAAAAATAAAGATTATTATAAGTTTGAGGCCACCCTCAGCTCCATAGCAAGATCCTGACTGTGTCTGAACCTGGGGCTCAGTGATAGAATGCTTGCTTAGTATATGCAAGACTCTGGATTTGATCTGTAGTGCTGTCCTCACAACTCTTCAAAGAAAAAGAATTTGTAGAGTATAGCTATTGAATGATTAAATAGAACTACTACTAATGATGAAATGCAAAGTGTCTTGGCTAGATTTTACTTGATAATTGATACTTCATGCATCTTTCTAGCAAAAGTAGACTGAATTTTTTTATAAGTTTATTTTTTATTTTATGTGTATCAGTGTATTGACCGCATGTGTCCAAAATACCTGTGGAGGTGAGAAAGTGTCACAACCCCTGGAACTGGAGTGATAGATGGTTATTAGCTGCCATATGGGTGCTGGGCATTGAACCTGGGTCCTATGCAAGAAAGAGCAGTCAGTGTTCTTAACCGCGTAGCCATTTCTCTAGCCCCAACTGATGAATTTTTACTGTAACTCCCTAAGATGGTGGGATGACTGAAAGGGGGTAGGGGTGGGGAAGATGCTCATTACTTACTGTAAATCTAAAGAATTTTTAAAAAATTTTATTTTTCAGAAAATGATGACTTATTTATGATGCCACGAATTGTTAATGTGACATCATTAGCCACAGAGGAAGATTTGGTAGACACAGGGGTCAGCAAATATCCTTGTGAAGTTCCTGATGGCAAGTCACTTGACCAGCTGAAAGATACTGTTGGAAATGAAGCTAACTCCTTAGAGGATACAGATAGAATCTCTTCTAGAGGAAACCATAGAGATGGCAGAATGGCATTAGGTTCAACCCAAGTTTTTTTGGCAAATAAAGATTCTGGGTTTCCACATGTAGTCAATGTTCCTAGTATGCAGGAAGCACCGGAGTTCTTACCTAAAAAGATTTCTGGTGATTTGAGAGGAAATCGATATAAATGGAAAGAGAATGAGTTGAGAGGAGAGAGACTGAAGTCAAAGGGAGCTCCGTTTCATAAATTAAAGATGAAAGAGCTCAAGGACTCAAGCATAGAGATGGAACTGAGGAAAGTAGCATCAGCTATTGAGGAAGCAGCCCTACATCCCAGTGAACTGCTAACTAACATGGAAGATGAAGATGATACTGATGAGACACTGACTTCACTGCTCAATGAAATTGCCTTTCTTAATCAGCAATTAAATGATGATTCTGTTGGCCTGGCAGAACTGCCCAGCTCTATGGATACAGAGTTCCCAGGGGATGCTCGTCGAGCTTTTAGCAGTAAACTTCCTCCTGGGAACAGATCAGCTTTCCAGGTTGGACACTTGGGAACAGGTTTGAAAGAGATGCCTGATGTTCAAGAGGAGAGTGAATCCATCAGCCCCCTCCTCTTGCACTTGGAAGATGATGACTTTTCTGAGAATGAAAAACAACTTGTAGACACAGCTTCTGAGCCAGATGTCCTTAAGATTGTTATCGACTCTGAGATAAAGGATTCTCTCCTTTCCCACAGGAAGTCTAGTGATGGAGGGAAGAGTACCTCTGGCCCTTGTGCAGAGCCTGAAAGTGTATCCTCACCTCCCATCCTACATATGAAGACTGGCCCAGAGAATAGCAGCACAGATACTTTGTGGAGGCCTATGCCAAAGTTGGCACCTTTAGGTTTGAAAGTAGCTAATCCTCCCAGTGATACAGATGGTCAGAGCCTCAAGGTGATGCCTTCCTTGGCACCTATAGCTGCCAAAGTTGGGTCAGTTGGACATAAAATGAACTTAACAGGGAATGACCAAGAAGGCCGAGAGAGCAAGGTGATGCCTACGTTGGCACCTGTTGTGGCTAAATTGGGCACTTCTGGGGTTTCATCAAGTTCTTCAGGGAAATGAATTTGCTTGTCCTCATGCAGAAGCCAGATATGAGGGGAAATTGAATCTCACCTCCTTTCTCTATAGGCGTGTTTGCTTGTCTTATGGAGCTATGATTCTTGACTTTGATGATGTGTGGATAATGTGGAGAAAGGGGGTAGGGCATAGGCCCTGGTATGAGAAATAGTATGAAATTTTGATCATGTTAAAATGGTTACCTCACTTGTGGTGCTGGGTTCCCTCATCTTATCTAAGAAGATGTGATCCCTCTTGCCCAAGGAATTAATAACAGGACTCTGGCTCCAAAGTAGTACCTTGTTCTTTCCCCTAAGAGAAAAATGCTGAAAAAGCTTGAGACTTTGGAATTGTTGTGGACTGAACTGTAGGTTATAATTGTTATGTCTAAGAACTGTGATGCAATTGTAAAAGGGTGACCTAGAAGAGAGAATTTTTAGTTGGAGTTTTAATAATATGAAGTGATAGAGCTGGACCCACTTGTAATCCCAGCACTTGGAAGGCTAAGGCAGGAGGATTGCAAGTTAGTGTCTTTTGGGCTGGCTTAGGGAACTCAATCTCTCTCTCTCTCTCTCTCTCTCTCTCTCTCTCTTTCTCTCTCTGTCTTTCCTTCTCTCTCTCGCCCCTCCCCCCCACCCCAGAGTGATAGAGCTGGACCTGGTGGTATACACTTGTAACCCCAGTACTTGGAAGGCTAAGGCAGGAGGATTGCAAGTTAGTATCTTTTGGGCTGGCTTAGGGAAATTACTCTCTCTCTCTCTCTCTCTCTCTCTCTCTCTCTCTCTCTCTCTCCTTTTGGGCTGGCTTAGGGAAATTACTCTCTCTTGCTCCCCCACCCCAGAGTGATAGAGCTGGACCTGGTGGTACACACTTGTAACCCCAGTACTTGGAAGGCTAAGGCAGGAGGATTGCAAGTTAGTGTCTTTTGGGCTGGCTTAGGGAAATTCCTCTCTCTCTCTCTCTCTCTGTCACACACACACACAGACAAAAAAAAAAAAACTTTAGGGGAAAAAAGGTATGTATGTTGTGGATGAATAGGGTGGGTGCCATGGAATACCAAAGTGAAGGGTCTTCTGTTATTCAGTAGAATTTTCTCTTCTTTCATATCTTGAATAGCTCCCAGTCCCTCGCCTTTTCAATCATAACTATAAATTTAAGCTTTCTAGTAAAGTAGTAATACACTTTTAACTTTACTATTAATGTAATTATTTTGAGTCTTAAAAAAAAGATATTTCTCCTTTACTGTCTTTTGGGATGTTGAAAAGCTTTCATGCCAGGGATTTCTACCCAGCATATGTTTTTTGGAGGTAGGCATAGAGATGACTCTTCCCCTTCACAAATTGCATCACTCAAGAAAGAGATAAAATGAAAAGAATTCTCTCCATAGACCAGAGATCATGGCCAAAATAAAGATTTGTGGGGCTGAATATTTCCCAAATAAAACCAGCCTCCAGGTGCTTGAAGGTTTCTTTCACTGTCACCTGCACAGGATGCAAAGAAAGGTCACAGTAGGCACTCTTTACCAGGGAAGTAAGGCAGTATTTGAATCACAAGATATATTTTTATCTGCTACCATGGAATCAATGATCTATAGAGCTTTTTCACTCATTAACTGTCAGGATATGAAGGTCTGACAGCATGTAAAGATAAAGATATTTATATTTTTGTATAGTTGTTTTCATAGATTTCTCAAAGGCTGAAGTTTTCAACCTAGAAGATGAGATTTGTATTGAGTATAGAAATGTTTCCTATCTAGTTTGTAAATAATCATGGTGCACTTGTGGGGTCTCTTGGAAACTCCTGGAGGCAAGAATCACTATTCTGAAAAATGTATAGACTGAGATTTAGCTGCTGCATTTTGCCTTTCTTAAATAATTATATTTTGGAATGTAACCCCTGTTCTGTCTTCAATGGCAGGATTTGCTTGTGTTGTAAAACACTTAACACAAGTGCTTCCAGTACCTGGGCTGTGCCTGGGTTAATTCTATTTCTTTCACATACCCTGCCTTCTTGAGACCTAGGTTGTGAGACCAACTTTGGAATGAATCTAGCCAGTGAATTACGACTTCATGTTTGATTCCCTATTAACTCTTAGAATCATCAGATTGAAATGATGGGAAAGCTTCCTCTGCAAAATGTAGTGGGAGTAAATTCTTTTTTGGTTTTGTGCTGCTTACCTTCCTACATAGCTCATCAGCACTTAACCTACCTTCCTTTATTGAAAAAATCCTGAAGTAGTAAAAATACTGTTCCTCAACTTCTCATTTGTCCCTTCTACCCTTTACCCAACTAATTTTATCCAATGCCTTAGCCACAGAGTCCAGCACCTGTTGCCCTTGCTAGTAATTGTCCTTGGAGATGCTAGTTCTTTAACCCGGGTATAGCAGTTTCTAATTATTTTGTTCCCTGTTTCTTCCCCGTGTTTCCTTCTGGCTTCCCAGGGCTCTTCTGGCTTTTGAGGGTCAGATAAGGAACAGACAAGGGAGCGAATAATCCTCAGGAAAAGAAGGACCATTTTAGCTTCTGAAACTTCATCTTTCTTTTCTTTAGAACTTTTCATTTTTTTTTCTTTCTTTCAGAAAAAATAGGCAAAACAGATCAAGGTCTATTCTTGACTGGAAGATATTTGGCTATGTTTGTATGAGAGACACAAAAATAGATATGAGGTTTGGTTCTAGGTGTTTAGGGAAGGCTGCAGATACTATTACAAACCCCCAAGACAACAGTGTTCTTAAGACTGATTTAGGAGCTATCAGAGCTAATTTGAAGAGGGCTCAGTCTTCAAAACAGTTCTGCAGTCTTGACAGAAATCTAAAATCTTCCCAAACCCCTACCTGCCCTTTAACCTTCCTTAGGAAAAATTGACCTATGAAAATTACATGTATGATTATGAAAGATGAAGTGAGAAGATTTGGGGAACCTGGAAGACAGTTCTCACCCTAACTATAAGAAGCATGATCTCCGTAGACCAATAATTCGCCTTTTTATATATCTGTAAATAAATGGAATGTTTTTAAGGATATAATTATGTCAGATTTAGCATTTTCTTTTATATATTAAATATATATCTTTCATTTTTGCTTTTGAAAGTGATTATTTTTTTAGAAATAAGAAGTTTGGCAAATGAAAGGCAAGACATGTAAACCCGAAATAAATCAGTTATACTAATTAAAGAAGAACTTGGTGTTGGGAGCTTTGTGTCTTGGGGAATTCTTTGTTGTGTTGTGTTGTTTTGTTTTATTTTGTTTTGTGTTGTTTTCTTTTGTCTCCCAGGAGCCCGAACTAGCCTGGAACTCATTTTGTAGACCAGGCAGACCTTGATCTCACAGAGATCCACCTGCCTCTGCTTCCTGAGTGCTGGGATTAAAGGTGTGCATCACCATACTCCAGGCCTTGGAGAATTCTTAGTGCCCTCAGAGAGGATTTTTGAGAAAGGGTGCCACTAAAGTAATTGTACCAGAGATTTCTTGTCCAAGTTTTTGACATGCCATTTGTGGAAAGTTTTTGGTGTTCTAATCCTTGAAACATGTCTTTTTTGTGGGGGCTTGAAAATTACATATAATCCAATAACATTTGCCATCTATAATGAAAAGCTAGTTTTCATAATGCCACTGTATGCAAGACAATTTATCTGTTACCTTGGGGAACAATAGGACATAAGCAGCCTTAATTATCTAAGGAAAATGGGTGTTTTTATTTTAATTATTGTGTGTACATATGATGTGTGTTGGGTATGTGTGCCATGCTGCACCTGTGGAGATCAGAGGACAATTTTGTGGAGTCAGTTCCCTCCTTCCTGTATGTGGGTGGTAGAGATCAAATTCAGGTTGTCAGGCTTTCACAGCAAGGTCTTTTATCCACTGAGCCATCTTGCCGGCCCTGTAGATGTTAAGGCAAGGAGTTAAGTAGTTTCATTATTTTACAAAGTTTCATTGTGGGAGTCTTAAACACTGAACTGTTCCTGATTTATTTACGGTCACCAACAGATCAAATTCAACTATATAAGCTTCACAGAAAGTGTTCAATTTGTATAATTGTATGGTAAATGCAATTGATTTTTTTGTTCCCCAGAATTATGGATGAAAATACCTGATGGTAGAACATTCTGTTACAGATTTGAAAATGTTTTGAACACAAGACAGTAGACAGTCTGTACTTTTTATTTTTTTAAGACAGGCTCTCACTGTGTAATCCTGGCTAGCTTGGAATTTGCTATGAAGACCAAGACTGACCTCAAACTCACAGAGATCTGCCTGTCTCTACCTCTTGAGGGTTAGAATTAAAGGCATGTGCCACCCTGCCTGTCTTTATATGTCATTTTTGGCCAAGTATCATTTTTTTCTGACTATGCTAGTTATTTATAATGGAATCGTGTGAGGTGAATTGTAAGGTCAGTACACTTAGAGGACAAGTCTACAAAATAATGCTATCTCTTGCTCTCCTAGAATTTGAATAAATAAAAACATGGATAAGTATAGGTAGTGCATTTTCAGATATTTTTCAGATTTACATCATTTTATGAAGAATGCTTGATAGCCAAGGATTCAGAATAAAATTCCATAAAATTGTTGGTTTTGAAGTGCTTTAAAGGCCTCAATATTTCTATTTGGCTTTATGTTTTTAAGATTTAGTTATGCTTGGTGTGGTGGTGCATGCCTTTAATCCTAGCACTTGGAAGGCAGAGGCAGGTAGATCTCTGTGGGTTCAAGGCCAGCCTGGTCTACATATAGAGTTCCAGGCCAGCTGGGACTAAGGGGAGACCCTGTTTCAAAAAGACCAAAAAAATTTTTTTTTCTTTTTTCTTTTTATATGTATCTGTTGTGTATGTATGTGCATACAGGTGTCCATGGAGGCCTGAAGAGGGCATTGAGTCTCCTAGTGCTGGAGTTTATGGATAGTTGTGAGCTGTCTGACATGAGTGCTGGAGATGGAACTTGGGTCCTCTGGAAAAGCAGAGTACTCTTATCCACGGAACCATCTCTCCAGCCCTGTGATTCTGTTATTGCTGATTCAAATTTATATCAACATGGACTAGGGAGATGACTCAGTAAAGTAAGCATGATGACCCTGGGTTCAATCCTCAGAACCCATGTAAAAATGAAAAATGTCAGATGTGGTGGTAATCCCAGCACTGGGAAGGCAAAGACACAGGAGAATCCCTGGGGCCTTCTGGGCAGCCAGTCTAGCCTAATTGGTGAGCTCCAGGCCAGTGAGATACCCTGTTTCAATGATATTGGTGGTATCCATGAGGATAACACTAAAGGTTGTCCTCTAGTCTTCATACCACATACAAGTGCATATGCACTTGCAATCACACAAAAAACCTTACACATGAATGGCTTAGTATATAGAAAAGGCTAGGGCTAGTGAGATGCTTCAGGCAAAGGCTCTAACTAATGACCTGAGTTTGATCCCTGGAACCCACATGGTAGGAGGAGAGAACTGACATCAGGTTGTCCCCTGACCTTCACATTTGTGCTGTTGCATGTGTGCATACCCTCCACCCCCTCCCCACATATAATAGAAAAACAAATTTCATTATCCTGCTTTGCATAGTGAGTTCCAAAACTGTCTGGGCTACATAGTGGAGAACTTGTTTCAACAAACAACAAAACCCTGATTTGGTGGTGCATGCATTTAATCCTAGCACTTGGCAGGCGGGGAAAGCATATCTGAGTTTGAGGCAAGCTTGATGTACATAGTTCTGGGTTAGCCAGGACTACATAGACCCTGTCTCAAAAATTTTTTTTTAAATAGGTAGTTAGAATTATTACCTGTTGATGAAAACAAGAGCTAAAGTGCGTATGTGAGCCAGGTGTGGTGCACAGCTTTAATCCCAGCACTTGAGAGGCAAAGGCATGTGGGTCTTTGAGTTCAAGGCCAACCTGGTTCATACAGAGAGTTCCAGGACAGCCAGGGGTGCATAGTGGAACTGAAAAACAAAAAACCAAAACGATAAAAAGAAAAGTGAATCTTTGAAATAGAATTAAGTTGATAAGGGCTGGAGAGATGGCTCAGTGGTTAAGAACACTGGTTGTTCTAGCTGGGCGTGGTGGTGCACCTGGGGCTACAGAGAGACCCTGTCTCAAAAAGACCAAAAAAACCCCACTGGTTCTTGCAGAAGACCCGGGTTTGAATCCCAGCACCCACATGGCAGCTAACAACTATCTGTAACTCCAGTCCCAGGGGATCCAACAGCCTCTTCTGACCTCTGCGGGCATTGCATGACACAGGTGCACTTACCTACATGCAGGCAGTACATGCATATACATAAAATTTAAAAAGTTGATAAATATTTTTAAAAGCATATTAAATACAAACTGCTTTACAAAGGCACATAATGTTAAACAACAATACTGGCTATGTGTGTGGAGGGTGAGGAGGCGAAGCCATAGCAAAGAGTTGGCAACTTTGAGACAGAGCTAAACTACTAAATTTTATATTGTAACTTGCCCACAGAATAGGATTTTTCCAGTGGGACAACAGCCTTGGAAGCATTGACTTGAGATCTGTTTGAGGTCCATCCTGGTTGTAACTGCGTTTATTGGTCTCAGCTCTCTCACAATACCTCGTGTGTAAACTTGCTCAATAAATATTTGAGCAAATGTTTATTCTAGCATATTAGTTTTCCAGGGTCTTATAAATTGCATTTTATTTGCCTAGGGTGAAAATTTAGTTGGGGTTCTTTTTTTTTTTTTTTTCTGAGATAGGGTCCCACTGTGTACCCCTGACTGATTCAAAGACCTTAGGATATTCACAAGCAGAATACTTACATGAAGGTCATTTTAGGGAGCAGGTGTCATGTATTTGAATAAAGGGAGTATCACTTCTGTTCACACTAGACCTGGGCCTGTTATTTTTAAAGTCCATGAATCACAAGAACACCCTCAGCCTAGTCCTGTTACTAGCATCTCAAAGGCAGCATGGTACCTAGACTTAGTTGCTCTGATTGGGAAGAATTTTAAATGTGTTTTTTTTTTTTTTTTTAACCTCAGCCTGGAAGTATCCAAATTCCAGACTTATGTCCCTTCATTACATTGTTCTCAGTTTTTCAATTTAGACAAGAATCGTCTTTAGACATTGAAAGCAAAAGTTTAGATTTGCCTATGCAGGCCAAATTCAAATTTGAGTAATTTGAGGGTGGGGGGACATTTTCTCTGAGGAGCTAAACCAAAGTAGTTGGATGAGAAGTTACACATAAACCTATTTACTTGGCCTTAAGTGTGAAATGAAAAAAATCTAGTAATTTACATGTCAGAGAAACAGTTGCTAGTGTCTGTAACACACAAAGACACCAGGTGGCATCATTTTTTAGTGTTCCACCCGCTTCTGTGGAGGTTTTAATAGCAATGAGTTAAATGAATCACCTTTTTATATGGTTATAGCTGATGGCTCTTGCCTCCAGATTTAGGAACTAAATTTTGGAAGTTCCATTTTAATTTCAATAAAGCTATAATGTATGGATGAAGGGAAGGAGGCCTTAGGCCTCCGGTTGTAGTTGCCAGTTGTTAACATCCCTAGTTCCTATGCAGCCTGTGATCTTTGTACATCTTATTTTTAATACAAGCTATAAAACACAGGCACCACCTTCGTGTTTGAACACTGACTATACAACTACTACCCGACAATAATTTTAGGGATCCATTCCATCTTGATACATGCCACTTTCCCCGGGGTTCCAAAGGTCTGGGATGGTGGGAGATACATCAGTGTACTTGGGCACAAGCCTTTTGGCTTAGGCTAGCCTTTTCAGAAGGTAATTTCTTGAAGTAGTAAATAGGCGGAAAATTCTAGGGCTTCTAAAAAATAAACTGGCTTGAATACCTATGAAGTCTGAATATGTATTTCCCTATCCACATGAAATAGAAAAACTACCACAGAGTCTAGTGCCAGCAAGCTTATGGATCCCACAACTGTCAGACCTGGAAGTATTCACAAGCAAAATTTGGAAAGACTAAAAAGATCTGAAGCAATACGTTGGGGGTTAAAGAAACCATGAAATATAGGCACATTCAATTGTTTTCTTTCTTTGCAGCCTCCCTACGGAGGCTCAGTTGGAGCTTCTCTGTCTTCCATCATTAGGTTGCTCAGTTTAAAACAGCGCTTGAACTGAGTTACTCTACGTGAATCATCCTGCTAGTCTGGCAGTGATCAGAAACTTGCAAAAGCAAATCCCAGCAATTGGGACAGATAGAAGTAGGGTTTTTTGGCTGCATCCCAACGTTGTATTTATGAGTTAGTAAATTTCAGCTGTGGTCTCTCAGGCCTATGAAATGTCCACCTTAGCACCCGGGGGCGTGGTTATCGTCTTGGGGCTTTGGGAAGTTCAGTTCTCTGGGGGACCGGAGCTGATAATTACCGTAAAAGGCCTGGTTTTCTCAAGTTTAAAGCTGTTCTGTTGACCTTCCTTTAAGAGTGGTACCCACGGTTAGATTGTGCAGAATCCGCAGTCCTCTAGTCCCGAGCCCCCAGCTTCCTCGGTTGTTTCATTGGCTCCGCCCCGTGGGCCTCGTACGTCCACTCCGGAATCGACTTCTGTCTACAGACCGCACCCCTTTGCCTCGGCTCCGCCCTCCCAGCGTAGTCGGCCCTGGCGCTAGTTCGCGTTTTGAGCCGCTAGTGCCACCATAGCTGCTAGTGCTGCTGTTGCTCCTGCTGCTGCCCGGTGGAGCTAAAACCGTTGAGCGCGATGCCTGAGGGCGCTGCGAGCCGGGCAGCTAGCGCGCGCTGGGGCGGGTGAGGCTGGGCCCGAGCGAGCGGGGGCGCTGACGAGTAGTAAGGGCTTCGGAGGCGGGTGGCTGCGGTGGAGCGCGGAAAGCCAGCCGGAGGCCGCGGGTGGGGGAGGGAGGCTCCGGGGGCGAACGGGCCGTAGGGAGCCCCACCGCCCGAGCCCCCGAGACTGCCAGCGCGGTGCACCCTGCGGCCGCCACCTCCTTTCGGCACCGCAGTTGCCATGAGAACACTGGAACTTTCACCGGGACCAAACTGGCTACCAGCCCTACCAGAGCCCATCCGGTTCTCCATTTAAACGCCCCTGGCAGGCGCGGGCCTGACAGTTCTTCACTCTAAGGGTCCTCCTCCCTGTTCTCGGGTCTGTCCTCCCTATGTTGCAAGAAACCAAGCAGGGTTAGAAGGTAGGGATGAGGCGGGGGATGGAGCGGGCAGCGCCTAGAGTAAGAGCTGCTGACGGGCAGAAGACCCCTACTGTGAAGCTAAGGTTGCTTCCGCCGTCTCAGGCCAGGTAAAGTGCATATCGGAAGACCGTGTGGAGGGAGAAGGCAGTGCCACTGTTGAGACAAGTCCCAAGGCTAGGTCAGGGACTGTCCCTAGAGGCTCCTCATTATGATGGCTGTGGAAGGATCAACCATTACCAGCCGTATCAAGAACTTGCTGCGGTCCCCATCCATCAAATTACGCAGAAGTAAGGCAGGAAACCGGAGAGAGAACCTCAGCTCCAAGGTGAGTCCTGTTGGGAGCCACCTCTTCCCAACTCAACCCTCTCCTTCTCCATATCCCTGTATCACCTTTCTCATTCTTGGGAAAGAAGAGAATGAGATGCCCTTGTTGGTTCTTAAAGAGCAGTAGTGCTATCTCTGACTCAAGAAAACCACGTCTTCGCTTTTAAGTTGAAGGAAGAACAGCAGCAGGAGTGGGCATGCTGAGACTCAGCCATGAGAAGAGGTGACCAGAAGGAAGGTAACCTGGGTTTAACCAGGACCTCAATACAAACTGTGTGCTTGAGGAACCAGTTGACATGTTATGAGTCAGTTTCCCTTCTTATAAAAGGACAGTGGAAACACATATTCTTTGAAGGACCAAGCTGTCTCTAACATGAGTGTAGGTGTTACTGTAACAGCTAGAGTTATGCCACACTATACTAGCAGAAAGAAATATATTAAAACACCATATCTGAGATATTAAAATAAGTTTATTCCTGGCCTGATGATGCACGCCTTTAATCCCGGCACTGGGGAGGCACAGGCAGGTAGGTCCCTGTGAGTTCAACACTAGCCTAGTCTACATTCCCAGCCAGGTGGGGTTACCTAGTGAGACTGTCGCAAAAAAAAAAAAAAAAAAAAAAAAAAAAAAAAAGAAAGAAAGAAAAAGAAAAGAAAAAGAATTGAGAAAGAAAAAGAAAAGAAAAAGAATTGAGATTGTTCAGCAGGTAAAGGCACTTGCCTCCAAGCCTGACATCCTGACTTCAACTCCCAGGACCCATATGGTGGAGAGAACCAACTCTCCTGATAGTTGTCCTCTGACCTTCACACATGTGCTGTAGTGGGCACAAAACACACACACACACACACACACACACACACACACACACAAATTATCTCTAGCTGGGTGTGGTACACGCCTTTAATCCCAGCACTTGGAAGGTAGTGGCAGGTGGATCTTTGTGAGTTTGAGGCCATGTGAGTTTGAGGTCTACATAGTGAGTTGGAGGCCTGCTGGGGCTACATGGAGACCCTGACTCAAAAAGACCAAAAAAAAAAAAAAAATCTCTTTAAGAGACCTAAATTTATGTCACTGAAGCTTCTTGGTTTCTTAGGAATGATAACATGATGGAACCATGTGTGCTAGAAAATCAGTTTTCCTGGTTTGCTCTTGAACATTGCTTATCTCATATACTGTATGCCAAGAGTTGCATCCTTTCACTTGTTTGAATTCTGGTCCTTATGCTTGTGTTTTGTTTTGTTTTGAGACAGGGTCTTGTTATGTAGTCCTGGCTGGCTTTGAACTCTATATACTCCTGCCTAAGAGTCCTGAGTGCTGGGATTACTGGCATGTCCAGCTTGATCCTATGCTTTATTCACCTTTGTTAAGTCCTACAACTTTGGGCATATAAAAGTGGAATAAATTTATTTAATTCCCTTGAGGGAATCCTGAGCTTTGTTCCCACAGGATCAGTTTAGGTTTTGTATCTTATTAGCAGCCTGTAAACACAATACTTTTTGTGGTACAAGATTACCAAGAGGAGAGTCATTTGAGACAGCAGCATTTTATTGCCTTGCCTGTGACTCCTCAGAGATGAGTAAACCTGGTGAGGAATGATTTAGAATCTAATGTGCAACACACAGAGTTCTGGGAGGACTTAGTTTAGATCCCTTTCCCTTAGCAGAGCCTTAATTGGATTTTGTAAGAAGGTGAACAGCTTTCTGGTATATTTTATCAGGGATTCTATTGAATTAACACCTGCCACATGGTTCTATGGTGGTGGAGATGGTGTCTCTTTTTAAAAAAAATTATTCATTATTTTTATCTTATGTATATGAGCATATTGTCTGCATGTGTGTAAGTGCACCTATGCTGTGCAATGCTCAAAGGTCAGAAGAGGGTGTTGGATGCCCTGGAACTGGAGTTACGGACAGTTGTTAGCTGCCATGTGGGTGCTGGGATTTGAATCTGGGTCTTCTGCAAGAGCAGCTGGTGGTCTTAGCCACTGAGCCACCTCTCTAGCCCAGATAGTGCCCTTTTTAATGACTCTTTTTAATTTAATTGTTCCTATCTTCTATAGGCTGGAGAATGGGCCCCCAACTTAGAAACTCTTAGGTACAACTCTTTGTTCATTCGTTTTTTATTGTTATTATTGTGTGTGTATGTTATGTACATGTAGGTGTACATGTGCTGTGAGGTTGTGGAAGTCAGGCATTGCAAGCACTTTTACCTAATTAGCCATCTTGCTAGTCCTAAAGGTGTAATCTGGGCTGCCCTCAAACTCCTGATCCTCCTGCTTCTATCTCTTCATCTCTTCAGCATAGCCCTCTGGCATGCACCACTTCAACTGCTGATTCTTGGGTAATCATTTACCATGCTAACACTAGTAGACTAGTTTCCGCACATCTTTGGGCTCTTTTTCTGGGCAGGATTGGTATACACAGTAGGGATATATGATGGGAGTTTAGCCTTTAATGTGAATACTTCTCTGATTTGGTTTGAAATCCAGAAGGTACCTTGGCCATTCTTTATAACTTAACCATGTCATTCAACATTAATGTGTTCAACAAGTATTTGTTGAGTGCCTATTGGGTGGAGAATCGGTGATGAATAAATCATCTTTGTCACTAAAGAGCTTGTGGCTGTCAGACATGTAAATAAGCAATTACCACATGGCTTGGTTAATTGCTATTCTAGAAGTTCAAATTAAGTTGTTAATGAAATTAAGGGAGGGGAATTAGGAAAGTCTTCACAGGGGAAGGAATGATTGAACTGTGAGTCCTGATGCAAGAAAAGAGGATCTCTCTAGGAAAACAGTGAAAGGACTTCATCTCTGACATCACCACTAAGCATCCCTGATTCAAGTAGAAATTCAGCTCTGAACAGAGCATGAGCTGTTTTTGTGTACCTAGTACCCTACCTTCCCATATATAGTGAGGCTACCTAAGGCTATTCTAAAAGTCTGCCTTAACCCACTTAAAACCTGGTCTATTAGGCTCTGTGAATTTCTACAGTGTATGATCACTGTGAGTAATCATGGTAACAGAAAACTTGTGATTCATGGAGAGTTGTTTTGTTTTTTGAGATTTGGTCTCACTATATAACCCAGGCAGGCCTCAAATTGGAGATAGAGCCTCCTTCTTCAGCCTCCTGAGTGCTGGGATTATAGATATATACCTCATGCCTGACCATGGGTAGCTAATTTTGAAATAAAATTTAAAGAGCAAAAGACATGCCACTTGGGATTAAGGAAAGAAGTGTCAGTGGTGCATGGTGGCACACACCTTTAATCCCAGCACTTGGAAGGCAGAGGCTGGTGGATTCTGTGAGTTCAAGGCCAGCTTGGTCCACATAGTGAATTCCAGGCCAGCTGGGGCTACAGGGAGACCCTGTCTCAAAAAGCCAAAAAAAAAAAAAGAAAGGAAGGAGGGAGGAAAAGAAGGAGGGAAGGAGGGAAGGAAGGAAGGAAGGAAGGAAGGAAGGAAGGAAGGAAGGAAGGAAGGAAGGAAGGAAGGAAAGAAAGAAGGAAGGAAAGTGTCGGAGTGCCTTTACACAGCTGGTAACTCAGGTAGCTTCCTGCTTTGATTTTTTTTCCAGATAAGGTCCTGTGATGTAAGAGTCCAGCCAGGCCTCAAACTGTGATTCTCCTACTTTTGTGTCATGCTATTCTAGATCAGCAAATTCTACACTTATTTTTAGATCCATCTCCATATTTTCCAGAAGCAGGGGGACTTCTCTGACTAGTCCCACTGTCTTGAAACCAATCTTTATTTCCTTCACAGCCCAATATTAGAATAGTGTAGGGTACAGAAGGAGTAAATGTTTGATACAAAGATGTCATTGTGGATAAACTTTGAAGTCCAGAAGAATAAGAAATGATCAGGAGGAATTATGACCTACTGAGAAATCAAAACTAGAACTAAAAAGACAATGAAAAGGAGAGAAGGTAGTGCTCATTAAGGACTTTTTATCCAGGGGAGACCCATTAAAATACAGTTAAATATGGTTAAAATCTGAGCTGAGAGAGCCAGTAATAGAGATGGAGATGTTGTCACTACAGAGCAATTAGATGAAAGATGAGATTTTTATCAAGCTTTTTTCACAGGGAGGGGAATTTATACAGTAGAGTAAATTGGAAAAGTGATCTGAGATTTTATGTCAGATCTGATTCTTTTAAAAAGTATATTTTATTTATTTTATGTATATGATTTTATTGCCTGCATGTATGTACGTGCTCTCATGTTGTGCAGTGCCCTTGGAGGTCAGAAGAGGGCATCGGAAACCTTGGAACAGGAGTTAGGGATGGTTGTTAGCTGCCATGTGGGTGCTGGGATTCAAACCTGGGTCCTCTGCAAGAGCAGCAAATGCTCTTAACTGAATGGCTCTGATCTGTTTGGTTTTGTTTGAGACAGAATCTTACTATGTATCTCTGGCTGGCCTGGTATTCACTATGTAGTCCAGGCTGACCTTGAACTCACAGCAGTCCTCCTGCCTCAGCCTCCTGAATGCTGGGATTACAGGTGTGTGCTACCATGAATGACTCTTTTATTTTTGAATTAAGGCTTAATGAAGTGTCTTGAAATCCTTAGAACAGGTGGCATGCCATGAAAAATGGTGTTCTCTTGGTTTTGTTTGATCATCTGCCTTTTGGTGACCACAGCTGCTCTCAGCCTTTAGAGTGATTCTCACTGGAGAGAAGAGTCATCTCTCCTTGAATCCAATAACACCTCTTCCTTTAGTGTCTAAAAATAGCCCAGCTTTTTCAGGCTTTGAGTTGTCTCCTGAGCCTTTGCTCATCTACTTGGCTGCACCCATTTCAGAGTTCCTCTCTTAAGTTGCAGTTTAGGTAAAGTTCTTTTGTTGCATCAGCCTTTAAAAAAATTATTTATTATTTATTTATTTATTTATTTATTTATTTATTTATTTATTTTAGGGGTATGAGTGTATTGCCTGAATGCATGTAAGTGCACCCATGTCATGCAATGACAGTGGTCAGAAGAGAGTGTCAGATTCCCCTGAAA